GTAGTAAGTATCCGTCGATCACTAACAGTCCATTTTTCAACCTTCTCCAAACTCTCACAGTCCCTGATTGCTTCTTCTGTCAATGTACGTATATATTCTTTAAGAGGTTTGTTAATTGAGACATCGAGAGGCTGCACTAAGCTAGTGCATCCAGCGGGGATCAGAGTTGGTGTAATTTGTTTTGATCGTAAGATTTCAAGGACGGCAGGAGTCTTATGGGATGTACAGAGGTCCATAGCAAATAGTGAAGGTTTGCCATTCAATGCCGGAATCAAATACATTTCAATATATTTGATGAACAGAACCTCGGTCATGTATGCAGTATCGTTGAACTCAACAAGAACACCCGGATGGTATTTGGCTTGTTCTTTGCCTAATCTTTTGCCTTGTCCATGGAATATAATCATAGGCGGTATTCTATTGACCCCATCCGCAAAGATGCACAGTACGAGACTTGCCTGTCTCTTATCCCAGCCGCTTCTTGTTTCTTTAACCCATATAGTTTTGTCTCCTATTAGATTATAGGTTCTACCGGATAAGTACTCGAAAGGGATTGGTGTTTCATCAAGATTGCAGATGTTCGCGAGATCATATCGGTTTTGACGTCGAATAAAACCTCCACCAACAGGTACACGGTGTGAGTAAAAGGCGTAAGGATCAAATTGGGAATTGCGGCGATTAAATTGTAGCCAGCTGATAATCAAATTACGGTAATCCTCGGGAATTTTCTGAGCAGTTTTGGTGATACATCGAAGACTGATACGGTACCGTCCCAAAAAACGAGCAAACCAGCCATTGGAAAAGCGGAAAAGTGATAGCTGAGTACCAACGGAAGGGAATAGCTTTCGAAAAATCTCATCTGAATGCAATCTAAACCAACCACGACGAACAGCTTGACCTTTTTCTCTGCACTCCAAAAACAAGCAGTACAATTGTCGTTCTAGCTCAGGCCATTTACAGATCGTATGTTGTAAGTGTACAGTGCGTGCTGAACTACCTTTAGCTACCAATTCTATTTGGTCTTGCTTTCTCACCCAGTCACTCAACGTACGTTGAGGAATACCGAACAGAAGTGATGCCTCCGCCTGTGTTGGTGGACGAAATTTACCACTAGTAGCTAGAGGTATGCGATGATGATAGAGGAACACCAAAGCCCGTATCTTCTGCTTCTGGCTCCATGAACGCTCTTGTTTCCGAATTGGTTGGATTCCATTTGATTTAAGGACCCGGTCCTTGATTGACTTAGGTTTTGGTCCTGGACGGACCCGGACATGATGTTTAACGGCATTCTGTTCACTTGCTGAAAGTTGAGTAAGTCTCGCCATGATTGTTCCTAACTACAATAACTACGGACAGATCTACCTATGTATCATGGCCGTGGACTCATTACTCTCCAACGCATACCTTGTCCTGCACCTATCTGCATATGCGCCGAGCCTTTCTCTCTTTGGTCCGGATTTACCATCTGCCTCTACGGATATAGTGGATTGCTCGAGAAATAACGGTATATACAATAGCTTTTGCAACGCAACCTCCATCGATCACTTGGCGAGTCAGCGACGACGTACGTACGTCCTAATCGATAACCGAGACTTGGGATCCTCTACCACATAAAAACTGGCCGTCAAACCTATAGCTAAAGAATATAAATTTATATGTAATTAATATACCAGATCCATAATAAGGTTACAGTCGCTTCTGGGTGAAAGGCGAACCTGGTTCGATGGCGAATGGGCCAATCGAAGCCAACAAAGCAAAAGTGCATCGACCCTTTTGTCTTGACTGATTACATGTATCAGCCCGAAAGTCGCCATTTGTTATAGAGCCGGGTTCGCCGTTGACCCAGAAACGACTGTGGTGGCCATTAAAGGCTACATGCAGTTGTACGGTACAGAATGTACAGCGGTGGGTAATAAGTCATCGGACGACCTAGCCACAATTTTGCCTGCAAACGCGTATTTTGGTGGCGTTCCGTCTGATGACTTATTACCCACCACTGTACCTATGGCTCGAGAAGCTATGGTGGGTAGGCGTGTAAACTTCGGCGTTTGCAGCCAATCTATCCCTTGGACGCGTGAGACATTTGGAGAATCATGCATTAGCGTGCCCTACCTAGGAAACGATTTACTATAATAAAGCAGCAACTTGCGAAGTTTTTAGCATCTCTGAGTATTCCGAAGACCGATAAATGCAGCAAACTGCTTACCCGGACGTTTTCTCAGCCAAATTCTAAGTCACATGACTGCCAATTCCGCTAATGCATGAGAGAGATTCTCCAAATGTCTCACGCGTCCAAGGGATAGGAATTGGGAGATCTACCCCCATGATGGTACTAGCGCCTAGCCTGACGGTGGAATTTTCTCTAATTCCCATACAAAAAAGTTCCTCTGAAGTTGACACACCCACCCCCTATGCCTTCTCGCGCCATACGTATATACACTTACATATAACTCGTAATCTACTATGTACTAGAATACACTTTTTCTTAATTCGTTGCGGTCTGATTGGTCGACACCGACATGGGTTTTTAGTAAGCACGACACATCAAAGTACTGAACACTCGAGAGGAGGAGGACGGGGGCCGAAGGCTTCTCATAATTCTAGAGTGAGAATTAAACAGAGGAGGTGGAATGGGGGAGCCGAAGGCCCCCATCGAAGGCCTTCCATAATTATTTGATACCCATAATCCAATAACTCGCGGTCGCGAGTTGGCATACCCCTAGTTAGAGGGTACAGAAACTCCAGAAACTCATGCATGCACGTTGCAACCAATAGGAGGTGCCTCGAGTTTCTGTCCAAATCCGCGCAGCTAAAATCCTCTAATAATCGTGTTTTAATTGATCTTCACTATGGCCATATCACTTCTTATTGGTGTATAGAATAACCCTGCATGATCTTTTTCATTTTCGGGATCTGCCCCGGCCCTGGCCGCACGCTGGAATTAATAGCGAACCAGACCGATCGATAACCGTCAGTTGCCAGCACACTATCGGAAAACTAGGGTATCGGTATCGAACTATTCAGCGCCGAGGCCATGTAACACATATGTACATGTACATGTAGGTACTCGTAGCTTTATAGCGTTTCCGAACACGACCAATATTGCATGACATACAAAAAGGTGGATTTGGCGCTTTTTCGTATGTCATGCAATATTGGTCGTGTTCGGAAACGCTATAAAGCTACGAGTACATACTTAAGGAAAAGTCTATCCCAAACCCTAGATAAATAACAGTAGGTACTCTACAAGTTCAACCTATGATCCCTGCTGGCCGTAACTTCCGTTTTCTGGAACAGTTTAATTAATGACGATCGTGATTATTGACCGATAGCAAAATGTAGTTTTCTCCCATCAAACATAGATATGACCGGCGTAAAAGCCGGTTTATCCTATTTACCCGCTTAATGCAGGGGCAGGAGTTATTTTGTACTAGTTCGTACTGTCAGCGACTCCCAGAGTAGTGGTTTTTGGGTTTTAGTTACATGTACCGCGTAGCTTCTAGAGTCTAATTATTAGTACTCTACTATAGTACCTGGCCCGGGCACTTGACACGTTCAGCATCTCGGTCTGTATGTATAATTGGATATATGTACCCTAAGATGCGCCCTGTAGCCCTCATCGGTAAGAACCTAGAGTCTAGAGTAGAGTATTTACCTGCAGGAGGGCTGGGGGTAATGACCGGAAGATATGAAGCAATCTTAAGTAAGAATGTTCCAACTTCTTCTAGAGTAGAGAGGTACTCTAGCTCTTATGTAGCTGTGCCTGTATATGTAGGCCTGCAGTAATTTGCATCCGCGGGGCTGCCGGTAGGTGAGTTATTTGTTCAGACATGGCGGCCTGGTTTGCCCAGTGATCCAATTTTTTCGAGGTGAAAAATATTTCATTTTCTATAGCCTAAGAAATGAGCAATCCTAGAGATGGCCATATTAAATTCGATATCGTGAGTTGAGAAATTGTTTATCAATCCCGAAGGAGATCTAGAGAACTAACATGTTATCGCTATAAATTAACGTGCTATTCGATTTTCCCGAGATAAGGAAACAACACACAATATCGCGAGATTATAAAGAAGCATTCCAATCTTAATGTACCGGATTTGGCCAATTGAAGGTGGTTCGCCTTTACTCTGTCCATGCAATCAGTCGTAGTCCGCCTTAAGCTTGACCCAAAACTTTGTAACACGACAAGGGTTTTGCAACCACTCCAAGTCGAATCCACATCGAAGATCCTCGCTCCGATATGTGTCCTACCGGCCGCTCACACTTTAGGTGAGTATACCTATTGCAATACTATCATGTGCTTGGCACCTTGGTTGATTGGCTTCACTGTAATCGGCCCGGCCACCAAACAATTTTTCCTTCACTTTTTTCCGTAATGCGGCCCCCAAAGACTAATGCAGTAAACCATTTCTATATATCATTTAGATAATGGAAATACAACCATTCGTCTAACCGGCTAGATCATAATTCTTTGCTGGAAATATATAATATGTTTAAACCGGAAATAAACGCGAACCCATAAAAAAATTGTCTTCAAGACACGCGTACGTACGGTTACTATCACAAGACAAGAGGACATATTGTATGTAGGTATGTATGTATGTACATGTATTTCCTAACAGTGAAGACAAGGGCCAAATATGTGTAGACGTACCTATCTTGGTAAGAATGCTATCTCAAATGCCTTGATCAATTGACTTACTAAAATGCTTATATAATTATATCGCGTCGGATTCGTAAGCTATTAAAATGGCCGACTGCGAAACTAACTTTTGATTAACGGAATAATCGGGCTTTTGTTCTTAGATCTTTGTTCAGATCACCAGAGACATTTCTCTTTGGCCCGTGCACCTGCATCGCATTCAGACTGCAAGTGATCGAAAAGGTATATTTACATTTACCGTAGGTATATTGAGTGGTGTCAGTGAGTGAGATAAGACCATTGGTGGAATGCCGTTGAAACTTACCGAAAGCTTTGTTTCTCGACTGAAGTTGCGTGAATGTTAGGATTGCAGTACTAATGGTTCCTTCCTGGCCGTTATCAGGATCAAAGTCGAGACGATATTATTTATTATTTAACAGCGTAACCAGCGGTCAAGTCAACCGGCCACGTCTATTCTAACCCACCTACTCTATGTTGAGCACAGTATCTACCCGTTTCTCCACTAAACGTCAATAGACCGGTACATTCATCTCCGCATCCTACTGGCTGGATTAGAGATCTCTAACACACGCTCCCTCCGTAACGGTAGATAAACAGTAAACGATCGGCCCCCGGCCCTGGCCCCATACAATTTATCTCCCGAGGAGGGAGGAAGGCAGGGTTGTTTTGGGTAAACCCGGTAAAATCAACCGTAGCTTAATCTGGGCTTCCGTGCCATGGTTCTGATTTGAGACAGCGAGTGACAACGCCCCGAGATGCATGGTGCAGTCAGCGTGGTATCTTTGGTTGTCCCATGGTAGGTACATTTGAAGGGAGCGGTACGGGCCTAGCTAACCTATCTGCTGTCTCTCTGTTTGTCGGAACCATTATGAGATCGAACTAGAAGATTCTTCGGGGTACTGGTGCTGGCTACATTCGGGGTTGGATCCAGTTGATGAGTAGGAGAGTAAAGTAGAGATGCACCTAGGCATGATTGAGCACATATCACAATATGTAGGTGAGTACTCTACTCTAGAGTACGACTCGTAGAGTAGAGTAACGGACATTGAGTATATGCACATACATGTACGGTACATACCTAATATATCATTTTAAAACCTGGCGCTGAGATGCAAAGATGTGGTGATACCAGATACAGACGGCTCCCCGTACCGTAGGTAGAGCTCTGAGCACCCTTCTTTTCCCGCCTATTTCCCGGGTCTCTGCATGCACCATAAAGGCCTGGATTCCAGATTTCTCAGCAGCGAAGCAGGAAAGAAAGCAGAAGGACAAGAAAGGTACGCGAGATGCTTGCTGCATGCTGGTTACCGACAACAAACAAGACAGTAGCAGCAGTGGTAGACTCTAGAGTAGAGTATTACTACAGGAGACTAGGGGCGGTCGATTACATTGATTGGTACGTGCTCTGGTGCGGTATGCACTATATTTGAACAGCAAAGAGCATCTTGTTATACGCGGCACTTCTCCTAGCCAATCAAAGGCTCCTTTGCGAGGAGCCGAAGAAAAGAGCTACCTTGCGCTTAGCGCTTAAAGGATTTGTATGCAGATGTCTGGCGGCATCATGTCCTATCACTCTACTTGGATCGAGTGTACTCGATTGTGTGTATTTGCCCATTTGGTTTCAGAGGGTTTAGTAACCAATTTTGTTTTAATTAATTAACGCATGCAAGGGTTTTCAGCCCGTTAAGGTGGTTCACCCACTAAAGTACGGTGCGCCTATATTTTCGAAGTCCTAGTCCTCAGAGCAGCTCTGTCTCGACATAGTTAAAGTCCTAAGATAATTCCTCTGATCTTAGCTGCCTTATTTATACCCCTACTACGGGAAGGAGGGGGGATCATACCGCAGGCACAAGCATCGGCAACCCTAACCCAGCCGTCGAATACACGCCGAAAAATGACCCTGTGAATACCTGCCACCCCGGCAAATACGCCTGTAACCATCGGTTTTCTACTTCTGCGATATATATTGGCTTTCCATTACCCGTGGCATATCCAAGTGAGTATTTGGATGGTTCTGCCTTGATATATAGCTTCACTGTCCCAGTTTCTGGGATCTCTGCGTAGGTTGTGTTTAGTGATGCGTTTACCCCCATGCGGGTCTTTGCTGCAATAACTCGCTTTTTAGTCTCGGGGTGGAGTGTGATGGCTATCTCGTTGTGGTAATGAATAGAAAGAAATATTGTGACGCCTGCCTCATGGCGGGGATTGGTAGGCTTAAAGTCAAGCTGGAGGTTTGTTAATGCATGTAGGTTGTGCACATACACATGTATATATATGCTAATACTGGCACCTAGGTGAAGGTTTTTCGTAACGTACCTCACTACTCCAAACGGTTCCCAAGTCTACCTGTTTTCGCATCAGAGTAGCCGGAGTCTCCCTATCACTCAGTGTATATGGATTCCCTAAAGTTACCAAATCAATCTCTGACAATTAAAAGCGCTTTTGTAAAACTTCTTTCTCACCTTTGATTCTAAGCCATCCCGGTCTCTCGTCCAAGCTATAAAATTTTTTATAGGGTGTCCTCGGAGTGTAATAACCTTTATCTCCCAGCTTTCCACTAAAATCATCTCTCCACTTCTTCGGTCTCTCAAGATCGTACAATCCTGGCATCTCAAACGTGATATCTTCTCCATTATTAATCACCGGCCACCCATCTACCCACTTCATAGAGGCCATAAAAGTCTCCCGGCCTAGCTGATTCTTGCCAGTGCTGTTGGCAGGGTTTTGGGGACGAGTTCCTAGGAAGACAGCATACCAATCGCCGGTGGGGGTGCTAACGAAATCGGCATGGCCAGTGGCTAGAATTGGATTTGACATCTTGTGCCCTGAGAACGCTCGTTTAGCTTACAGTGATATATAAAATATGATTAAGGATCACCTACCATTGTACAGTATGGGGTTCTGCGGATTTGCCTCCCAAGGCCCATTCAGGCTTCTTGCGCGGGAAATCATGGCCCTATGACCTGCCTCGGTGCCCGCCTCTGCTGTTAGTAAATAATACCAGCCTTCCTTCTTGAACAAATGGCTCCCCTCCGCAAGCCTCGGCGTATTCAGCGGCAAGTCACTGACATGGAAGAGTCTGGCTTCGCTAAGCGCATTGCCGGTTTTAATATCAATCTCAGAGATCCAGATTGCAAAATAACCGGAGTCGGGGTCGACGAATTGGGAGCCTAGGGTAGTGGTGAGATAGGTGCGGCCGTCAGTATCGAAGAAGAGGTCAGGGTCGAATCCCCATCTGGGACGTTTGTTAGTTGCTGGGTGTTGAGTGGAAATGCATTAAGGTCAGCGAGGATAAGAAATGCTTACTGGTCGACATAAGTTGGATCGCTCCAGGACTTTTCATCCCAAATGTTTTTAGTCGTGACGTAGAAACTTCGAGGGGTATGTGTTACATTCTTCACGTATAGTCATATTAAGCTCGGCCTTTATGCAAGATATCGAGGGAGTGGGAAAATGAAAGGCAAACCCTCGATACGTACATCTGGTGGACTGATAATATCAAACAGGGTCGTGATCATATAATACGTTCTTGTCTGTTCGTGATACCTCAAAGTGGGTGCGAAGATACCACCACTAGGGGCAGTACCTCTCAGATTCAATTGCGAAGGCCGGTTCAATGCATGGCCAATGATTTCCCAATTGATTCTACACGCGGAATAGTTAGCTACTTCTCCGGTGGAGTAATTAGCTGTCGGGTGGGATATTTCACAAATCAATGGAATGGTATATGGGAACTCCCGGGAAGAACTCAAAAGTTGAAGTTGCGAGGAAGTAGTCCTTGCCAACTCTCTGGATTGTGGGATCTGGATTAAAACCAGGGATGATGGGGTTCTGGAAGGCGTGTGAGATACCTGTAGGTAATTCTCTATGTGTTAGCACATGTATGCATCTATAGAGAACAAGTCTAGATTTAAGAGTGATAGGTTGTACAATTGTAACATACGTAGTATAATTGTGGTAAGAGTAATTAGAAATCCTCTGTTCCTGATAAACGTCCTCATTACTCCGAACGCGCGTACATATATACGCAGAAAGATGATACCGAAGCTTAAGTACTGCACCGAATATGTCGCGACGAGGCGGCAGATGAAATAGGCCTCATATATAGACGAATTTCTATGTTGAAATGGCGGGGAAATTGCGTCCCGCAAATCTGATTGAAGATATCCACTTTAACCACCTTCCGCTGGTATGGGATATGTACACCTACCAGTTGCATATCAATTCTTCAGGCTGAAATTAGGTTACACTTGTAGCCTGAAATGATGGAATAGTTAGCTATAGATATAGAGCCTAATGGTGATCTTTTCTTCGATAGACCTAAAGTACACTACGTACCCCGACAGGAAAGACCCCACATTCCCGGGATGATAGAACCGAACCCGGGACTAATGCGCAATGAGCATCGCAGTACCAGATTGAGATCGGGGGGGGGGGGGTCTAACTACTTTTTATCAAACTGCCTAATATCCACGATATATATCTTGGCAGTAATTAATTTACAAACATGTACAAAGGGCGTTTATGATAAGTACAATACCGTACATGCACTAGATACCACGAAGTTACACATTGTTTACATGTAATTTATGGGTTCCCGAGTTGATCAATTGCCCAACGAGAACAGGCCCAAAACCCCAAATCCAAACCTGATCCACGGCCATGTATCTAGAATACAGGGCCAGGCGTACTAGAGTAGTATATACAGGGATAGTATATTGCACTAATCAGCTCAGCCATGTTTCTAAAAATAGTTGAGGCAATGCTCTCGACATTATTTAAAGAGATCTAAATCTATTATATATATCCACGAGATTTGGAGGAAATAATGAATATCGGTGGTTTAAGTCGCTCGTATATGATGTATGGAACTAAATATCTGAGGGACAGATTCTATGACATTTCAATCCCATTTAAAATCTCTTGAAACACCTAATATATATAAGCAGTATACATAACTTATACCTAAGTTGGCATTAACAAGGCCTGGGGCTTAGCTACGTGTATCATGCTAGGCCTACAGTATGTAGGCCGTATGTACATTCCATTTCCCAAATAGTCTTAATTACATATGCATGTACCCCAGAATTTCTGACTGATGACTACTGTAACTTAAGATGACTCGACATAGATGGCTGAAAATCCATTTATATAGGGATTCGCACCTCCAGAAAAAGGGATTAATTTTATCTTATTTCTTACTCATATCGATCTTCGATTTGTTGTGTCTTCCTAAAGAAGATCTCAATTCACGACGTATAACTTCACCTTCAATAATCCTACCAAGTATACTAGAAAATCAAGACAGTGACACTCACGTACGTCACATGTACACGCACGATCAAACATGCCGCTGCCAGAACTGCACGATGCTCCCAACGAGGTTATTTATGAGATTGCAGGATATCTTGACCCAACGGATCTTAATTCATTCCTCCGGTGCAATCGACATTTAGCGCTTCTCCTGGGGCCATGTCTGCATAAGATTGCCCTGTCACCAAAGAATGGGCACTCGGCGCTCTTTGAAGCGGCAATGCGGTTTAAATACAAATTAGTCGAATACATATTAAAGAACCAAGTTGACGCCGATATTAATATGGAAGGATTACCCATGAATTTTCCAGTATTCGAATCCTGGCCCGGCTCTGTCGCCGACTGCACGACATCTCTTCTTTGCTGTGCTGTGAGAGATCACCATTTTGGAACCATCAAGACTTTGGTCGAGAAAGGTGCGCGCATACCGACCCAGCAGGAGCACGAACGAGTAGGAATGATTGAAATCCGTGACGAGCAACTTTTCGAGTATTTACTGGACAGTGGATTCCCAATGCCTGGATATGCGCTTCATTCTATTATCTATTGGGATATTGGTCCATATGACAAACGGTACCCAGAGTGTTCTCGTGATTGGGTTTTTAGGTAATTCACATAAACTGTTTGAATCCTGTGCCTTGCTTTTCGGTAGTTTATTGAATATAACGAATTTTTATAGCATCTATCTCGAGAAGGGTGCCGATATCGATCAGAAACGGCCATACGGGGATGGGGACACCCCACTTAACTATGCAGCATACCGCAGAAGAGATAAAATAGTCACGATGCTCCTTGACCATGGCGCCGATGTTAACGCAGTAAATAAAATGGGGCACACACCACTTCTTTCAGCTGTGATGAATCATTACGATGACCGACGTTATTTATACGACCACTACAAGTCTCGGTATTTAGATGTTGTCCGTGAGAGAGCATGGTTTCATGTGGAGCGTGCTACGTGGGAGGACTTGGAGGCGGTATATCCGGAGCGAGGCGAGTCAATAGTGCGGCAACTCTTGGACCGTGGTGCCAATATAAATACTCGCGCTCCTGATGGTAAAACTGCATTACACATCCCTACTATCTCATTAGGCAAGGATGGAAGCACTGGCCTTTTGGGAATTCTTCTGCAGAACGGTGCTGATATCGCGGCCGTTGATAATGAAGGGTTGACAGCCCTCTATTATGCAGTGGAAAGCGCTTGCACGGAGGCTGTTAGTATTCTGTTAGCAAATGGAGCAGACCACAGTGTTTAGACAAAGACTGGCGATACACCGCTCATATGTGCCGTGAGAGAGAGAAGAATCTATCAACAATTACGCTGCTTCTGGATCGTGGCGCCAACATCTTGACTTGTAATTACAATGGCCTAACACCTCTTCACTGTAGCGTGATGGGTTATCGCTCGTGTTCAGTGGCATCAGGATGCAACATCTTGTCGGACGAATCTATTTTTGTCTGTCTCCTTGAACATGGGGCCGACCTTGATCCTAAGGATTCGAAAGGTAGAACATCACTCGATCTGGGCAGAATAAATGAAACTAGTAGGCTGATAAACCGAACTGGAATTGTTAAATTACTGTTGGAGTGGGAGAAACGTATGGAGGGTTTATTTTGATAAGGTTTGCAACTAACCAAGCTTTAAAGTTCTTTAACTTATACCTACATGTAGCTAAGGGCCCGTTTGGCTGTTATGGAGGTGTCGAAACTCCGTTTTGTGCCTGCTCCGTTAGGAGAGGATAAACGGAGCTTTTTCAAAAATGGAATTTGGATTTATTTGGGTTGCTAAATACCTGATTGTTAATGATTGTTGCGTTGGTTTTTTGATTGCAATGGCTGCAAGAACGAAACGGAGCTGAAAGTAGATACCCCCTACTTTTCAAAAACTCCATTTCAACACCCTAACGGAGTTACGAGATTAGCTGTCCGAACATAAACTTTTTTGCCGAAATGGAGTTATGTGGTTGCCATACAAATCCACCTCTTGTAACTCCGTTTTGACTTGCGGCCAAACGGACCAAGATGTTAAGGCCTGGCTCGAACCAACCTACAAAAATGATCAGCGCAGACTCAGGGCAGTGTGATTCAAATCTTCTCCTTTTTTTTCTTTCTATTTAAGCATATGTCTTTCATTTGTATCTTAGTGAAATAAATTCCATATTTCGTAGCTCTAGACCTAGGGATAGCGTTGCTTCGGTCGGCGCGGTTGGATTCCAGGAAACACAATATCGAGTGATGTACTATGATCGATGGCAATCTGCTCAGGTGTGTAGCGTTCAGCACAAGACTTTGTCCTATGAAACTTGCGACCGCATGAAATCTAAATTTTAGGGCTTACCGGCCGTTAATTTAATGGAATTCCCAATAAGTGTGATGTGGTGAGATTTGGGTGTAACAACCCTAACCCGAGGCATAGAAAAGCCACAGCACCATCACCAGCCACCACTCACAGGTAAGTACATACAGGCCCCCTTCGCCTCCGTGGCCTTAGTGTTAATCGCTTGCTGGACCTTCCGGCTTCCAACCAACACCTCGTTTACCAACTTGGACGACATCATCTCATATTATCAAGGAAGAAAGGGACCCCTCTAGATCTCTTAGCCTTTGTTTTCTAAAGTAAATTCCCCTCTTTTCCCGTCTCACACTTCCTCCGCCAAATAATTTTTCGTTGATCTGGCCTCTTCTCTCTATCTGTGCTCTCAATCTACAGCTTCCAGCACCCTAAATTATCTTTCCCCGGTAACCCTTAACTGAACTACGCAGGCCTTTTCTCCCCGCACCTGCAAACCAGGCCCCGGCTTGATATTAAAGCCGGTAATTTCATAATGGCCGACTCACCGGAATTACCACCTCAATCACAAATTGTCTCTGCTGATACTACTGTATCCGCTAGCTTACTTCCTCCGCCGTCTCTGGGGGATTCACTGGTTTCCGGGTCAGTAGTGGAGGAGGGAAACATTGCGGCGCTACCGAGAATCTCTTCTACGGCTTCGTTTGCTCCAGAAGCTTGCCACATTGAGGATATTGACTCTGGTTGTGGCCATGAACACCAGAAGCATAGTATATTACATTCCGCAAATCATACCCCTAATATTTCTAGGAATGCATCAAAGGTAGATGTTACCCAAGGTTCTGGAATGGGCGGAAAATTGTATGATAGCAGCAGCTTGCCGGAGGGAGATAAGGATGAAGGCGACAATGTCGGAGAAGGAGATGAAGATGATGGTATGCTATTGATGAAATCGCCCAATAGCCGTGGCCGCCTGGGTACGCCATCTGAAACAATTCCATAATTTCTTGTTTGGGAGTGCACGTGACTTACTTCACTCGGCGCTCTCATAGATGTCCAATTGGACCCATCTATAGTCGCCGCCACCCAAATAGATACAGCCACTCAGAAGCAAGCGAATAATCCTCCAACTTCGCCTCAATTGGGATTCCCGGCTCAGGTAGCAGGATTTTCAATGACAGAGATGTCAGAACACAGCTCCTCTCCTTCGACAGCCATAACGCCTGAGGGAGTTTCAACAGTATCTAACCTCCCGGCACTACCGAGCACTATAGAAGAGGGAAAAGCTATGGAAACCGATTCAACACCACCTTCGCAAATCCCCGGAGGTCCGGATGGCACAAAGAATATAAACTGGGAGTTTGACAACATGTCGGAGCTACAGGAACATATAACTGGCCCCGATCCCTTCGAACAACTGGTAGCGGAGGCGCCATCTAGATCATCTACTTTTCCACCGGTACCTCCACATGACGAGAACTCAACGACGGCGCACTATGAAAACGAAAAGGCACTATTCAATATGATGGCTTCTGAAGTAGCCACCGGTGATGGGGATAGGGGTATGTTTGATTCACCTAGTGCTGAACACGGCGGGTTTTTTGGTGCGCCTGAGGAATCAGCAGAAGACGATTTTTTTAATAATATTTCCCGGGGTGAAATGATGGATGATAATGATAACGTTGCAGCAATGATGGGACAAGTGCTGGATGCTGCTGGAATTGGCGGCCCCGCTCTAGAGGCCACTGAAAATGTGCAGAATGAAGAAGCTCGTTTTGAGGAGGGAATGCCGTTGATTGGTCATGATTTGGAAAGGAAACAGGGGGAACCCAGTTTTTTTGAAGAAGTCAAAGTGGATGAAATTTTCGAGGTGACTAAAGAAGATAGCGATATCGAACAAGATCCTGCTCTGGGACCGCAGAGGAAGTCAACTGAACAGGTTGTGGGTGCCGTTACTCACCCCTATCACTCTGCGATGGGCATAGCAACAAGCATGGCTACAGTCAACAGTGAAGTTCTGAGCGCCGGTGATATGGAGCCTAAGAATGATTTGCTATTCAGTACTTTTGCCACAACTGCAGAAGAATCCGAAGATGATTTCTTTGGCAAAATTGGGCAAAACCCTCAACCAGTTACTTCCCAACCGCCATCAGCCGGGGGGGATGAGGGTGAGGATGATGACCTTGTAGCTAGGTGGAAAGCAGCATTGGCGGGGGATGTCTTAGATGACGAAGAGGGATTCCTGCCCAGTGACGATGAGGGCTTTCTCCCTGATTCTGATGATGAAAAGGAAATGGCGCCAGTGCACCATGCAGATGGGTCACTACAAGGCTTTTCCACTTTATCAACAGGAAATCCTACATTGGCGCAAACCCCAAGCCCTGTACCTTCAACTGCGGCTGGAAGATATGCTCCCCAAATACCTCAACCGCCCGCTCAAAAGGTTTATGGAATGGCGGGATGGCAACCACAAGTGCCGCAATCTCAGCAGGCCCTTCCAAATCCGTACTCACCACATCCGTCAGTACCCACCTCTACTACGCAAGGATATTCGGCTTCTAGCCCGTATAACTCTTTTGGACAGCCTCCGAAAGTGCCCGAACCTCCAAAAGCGCAAAGTTTCGTTAATAAGAAGGAGGGATATCAAAGCCCTTATGATCTCCCCATGGATGTAGTCCCCCAGGTTATCAGGAAAAGATCTAATTTTGGACAAGCTGCTTCAGGCCCTGGAGGGTTTCCACTACCCTCAAGAAGTACCAGCATGGGAAGTGCATTCTCGCCGTCCACTGCTGCCGGACCACCGAAGCCAAAGCCTCAACCGCAACAATTCTTTGAAGAACTTCCTCTGCCTCCAAAGTCTAGAGCGACATCAGCAATGGGATATTCCTCAACCCAGATGCTGCCGAGGAGTGCGGAGGGGTTTGTACCACCGATTGGACCCCAGAGGTCAGGTAGTACACAGGACTTTTATTCTCAGAGCCCTCAAAAGCAATTTGTACATCCAGCTGTGCCATCACCACAACAAGTACAAGCACAACCGGCTAGTGCTGCCAACAGCAGGCACTCCCCTGCTCCAAGGGCGGCAGGTGGGTATGTTGCACCTCCAGCATCTGCCCCCGCAGCACAAGGATACCAGCCTCCACCAGTGCCAGTTCTTGGCCCGAGTGCGAATATCCCATATGCTTCCCCGAGTGCGCCGCCAGCTGCCCCTTCTAAATACCCCCCCAGACCTGCAGGACCTCCACAGGCCACATCCGCCGCGCCTTCTCTTCAACCCTCGATTCGTCAGCAGGTTACAGTTCCACTACAGACCTCCATCCCTCAACCACCTGGACATGATGATGCGCAACCCCCCGCGCTACGACGCTTCCCGAGCGACCATTACGTGATGCATTCATCAAGACCAGGGACAGCAAGGTCTATCTCGTTATCGACTACAATGGATATACCACGAGAAGAGGAGGAAATAGTAGAAGACGCGCCAAACGCTGCGGAAAATAGTACAGGTCCTGTCTCTGTGCCCACGGCACCTAACAGTCGTTATGCCCCACCGAGGGGCCCTGGGACGCCTACTCCCGGGCAGGCTTCGCGCTCAAGTACTTTTTCGCCTCCATCGGGATCGCCAAGATATATCGCCGGCTCTCCCGTAGATGCATTTTCTCCCCCACCAAGAGCTCAAACACAATCCCCAGGAATGGCTTTTGGGAGGAGTCATAAAACTGCACAACGATCCAGAGAGCCATATGAAAGACCAAGCTCAGCGTTCGCACACACCAGTACACACTCTCACTCCTCACTTAATTTGCACCAGCGGGCGCAATCTTTGGAAGTCAACTTCATGGCTCCAACAGATGAGACTGGACGCGACGTGCTAAAGCGATGGCAAGGTGCCCCGCTATTTTGCTGGGGATTCGGCGGAAATGTAGCCGTGATGTTTCCCCGACGTGCCCAACGATACTCATCTGA